TAAAGTGTGCAAGTAGAAACCTGCACCGTGCTTCCTCCGACGTTTTAAGTGTGCAAGTAGAAACCTTTGCTCACAAAGCTTTCTCTATTTGTTTTGGCTTCCTCATAAAGGAAGCTTTGTGAGCAAAGGTTTCTAGGGACCTTTGCGTACGTCGAAAACTGAGTCTACGTAACCAACGCTTAACGACGTCGATATAAACGAGGGGTAGAAAAGACTGAAAACGATACGAAACATAGAACAAGGGCGCACGCTTCAACGTTGCGGAACGTAAAACCGAAACAACGCGTTCTGCAAAACGTCAAACGTTTCGTAAAAAAAACCCCTTGCGTCGTAGCACGTTTTATTACGTTTCATATCGTCTTAAGTCTTTTCTACCTCTCGTTCATATCGACGTTGTTAGACGTTGCGTGCGTAGTTCTGGACGTCAAGAACATTCGATAACGTTGGCACCGACATACCGACACACCAACACACCGACACACCAACCGACATTTTTTAAAATAGCGCGTTTTTGACGTTTTAAAACATTTTGAACACCGTGGCAAAAGTAACTAAAAAAAAATGTTGTTTGCGAAAACAAAGCTTCCTCTATAAAAAAGCAAAAAAAATCAACATTTGACGATCACTGACGATAAAAGTAGCGTAACTACTCGGAAATGTAAAAGAGAAACATGTATAGAAAAATGTTTCGTATATGGTAAAACGGTCGACACTGTTACGCATACCTGAAAAACATCTGCGGTCACCCTTAAAGTGAATGAAAACTTTTTGAACAGCATCTCGTCGAATACTTGCATATAAGCATTGTTTGCGTTTTCCTGCATTTCCCCTAATTCTTGCGCCGATCGGCCTATGATTTTCTCAGCCGTTTCACCAAAGGCAATTACCCAACCAAAAGCAATTACCCAACGACTACCTGTTGCGTCTGATAGATTCATCTGAAATGTGTTACAACACGAACGCAAACAGATATCAAAAAATACTTTTACGCGAACGAACGAAGTACGCGGCAAAAACACACGACATACATTTAACAGTAAGCGATACTTGAACGTTGACGAGTTACACCTTGTTAAACTTGTCGCATCTAAATACTCCGGCAGATGTATCGCGTAACTGAAAGTAAAGTCAACGTTTACAGCACCGCGTATTTTCGTAACGAGCTTGAAACGCGCCGGACTCTTTCGTTTCAAACGTCTCCGCCGCGCGCCGACCCGTTACCTTCTTCCTGCAACCAGTTACGGGGCATGCCTTGTAAATAGCATTTTCCGTGCGAAACATGTCAACGATCGCCACAACTGCAACGGAATCTAGGAGCGTACATGTTTCCCCCAAGCGAGCTGCAGTCATCTCCTCGAAAGTGTACAACGACGCGTTGAAGTCATCACTTCCACCTGCTCTAGACTCGGCGTTAGCCGTTTCCAAATGGCCAACTGTAGTATACCACGTGCGCAATCTGAAATACGTCGTACATATATCGTCGACTGTATTTTTATCGACCGCGCGTATATTTTCAAACATATATTATCACAACAACATATTTTCAAAAAATGTTAGAACGGCCACGTTAACGAACACGAACGTCTATAAAAAGACATATTTAAGAACGTGCGTAACATTAAAACGTACCGAAAAAGCAAACGTAAACGAAGCGTCGTTCCCTTACTTACAACAAATATTTATATCGATGTACAAAGTCAGCGGTGCTTTACGTTAACGACAGTTTAACGATACCTGTGTGCTTCAGGAAGATCAGGATCCTTTACAAGTACGGAGGATGTCATAAGGGATAACGTTCTTTCACCATTATATTCACTGACACGCGCTCCTTTAACGGCAATAATCGGCGTCGCAGAACCATCAAAATCCTCGGTTTGCTGTACCCACAGTGTAGTCCACCTAACAGACAGATTTTTTTTTTCATCCACCGTAACAGCAAAATGTTAAACGCTGTCACGAAACTACTCAGCTGTGTGCCGCTGTCATCAACGATCGTAATATCTCTCTTCAAAAGCGCTTGGCCGGTACTTCGTTGCACAAGAGATTGTAGATCGTTGACATGTGTAACGACACCCAAGACATCTAAAAAAAAACCAACATCGTCAACTCCGACGTTTCAACCGACGTCCGGTATATCGTTACCAACGTTTCGTTTATATCATATTCTAAACGTTAACGGTGTTTGTTTGTCGCCGTGACAGTAAAACTTTACGGTAGAACGCGATACACGTACAACGGACCGGTAAGTGACCGTTACGTTTACAGCGAAACATCGAACGAAAACGACGGGTTGTCACGTGCGCAAGCGAAACGTCGCGAAGCGACCGCGTAACGCGGAAAAAACGCCGTTACGTAACGTAACCACGTTTAATGGTTACCGATATTTTTATACTGTACCTATTAAAACATCTTTCTCTTT